TCTTTTAACAAAATGGAAACACATCTTCTCTACTTATTAAAGCACAGGTAGGTTTTTTTGGTTGATAAAATTTTCTTATTTGTCTGGTATAATCATAACCGTACCATTATATAACTTATATGATTTGTTTGCAAAAACTGGAACCAATTGACTTTCACACGCCCCTTGCGGAATCAACTTCAGATCATCAAGAAAGTTCTGCAGAAAATGACACCAATTCTAGTGAGCTCTTGGTTATAAGGTGAGCACGTCAAACTTTACTAGTGATATTCTCTCGATTTTTTCAGGATCATGAAAAATGTTTGCTGTTCACAGTTTAAGGAAAATTTTAATTTATCGAAAACGATCTATAAGAAGTGTTTTGGCGTTCGAAACCCAAAAAGACTACTGGATTAAAGTGGATTGAGACGAGAATAACGTGAGAGCGAAGGGAAATATGAGCTAACATACGCGGAGTAAGAATAAGAATAGATCATATAAACAAACACACGAATGCTTCAATTGATCATTGAAACTTAAAATTAATACACACAGACGCACACACAAGAAATGTACATCGATCGATCAGTCGATAAATTCCGTAAGTACACCTATTGCGAAAACAGGCGATTATTTATGGAAGGAATGCGGTGAAAATTGATTTAAGCGTAAAATGTGTCTGTTCGAAGAGAGAAAGGCTTGAAAAGCAATCATCAACTGCACCGACTATTTACAATGTGTAAAGAGACGCGTCGACAAATTTTCCAAAGAGTGAGAAGGGAGAAAGAGAGAGAGAGAGAGAGAGAGAGAGAGAGAGAGAGAGAGAAACTGGAAGTGGAAGAAGTTCACAAAATAGGAAATTAATAACAGGTTATAATCAGCATTGGTTCAGTAACATTATTGTAACGTATTGCAAGGTAAACCTTCTTTCGTGATTGTTCGTTATTTATTCAACTCCTTTTGAAATTTAGTTCGTACCAAAGAATTCTGATTTTTACTATGGTATAGATATCATATAGAAGTCTTAGAAGATCTATTTACACAATTATTTACAGGAACTTATATTTACAACGCCTTCATTTCCGTTCCGGTCTTCAACTCTTGTGATTAGACTAACTCGAGTCTCTCGCCTCACTTTTGCACGCCTTTATCTTCCGCAAATATTCTTCTTGTATACACTTTTACAAGCAATTGACCATTACCCAAATTCATCGCGACATCTTTAACCCACTAACCCGTTTTTCCGACCACTGAGGTCACTTTTACTTTCAAAAGAAAAAAATTTTGTTTTTTAAACAGATGGAGGGCATAAAAATTCGCCAAACGGCCCAAAAAAATTAATTTTCATACTTTTCCGACTTTGAATTAATAAAATATAAAAGGGAAATGAAATGGGACCGGGAGAGTGATCAATAAGAACAATATAAGTAGGTATGAGTTCACGCGCGCACAAGGAAGCACTTAAGTCCTAATGACATTAAAAAGCATTAAGGTAACAGTTGTCGACGAAAGACGCACAAGTTCAGATATAGGCTACTAAGCCACCATGAACTTGAAATCTTTTTGGATTTTTTAAGTCGGATAAATAAAAAATTGTTCGTCAAGCAATTGTTTCATAGAATATAAATACGAAGGTAACGTTTCAAGCTACTAATTGTTTACGAAAACTTTTATCTTGTCATGCGGATGAAGAGAGCACCTCCTTTAGCTTTCTAGATCCTATATCACAAGTAGTATATTGAGTTTGTGTGGGTGTAGACCCACCTTTTATTATATTAATCGATTCTGAACCGATTTAAGCCGGTTTGTCCTTCCGTCCGTCAGATGTCTATCCATGTATTTTTGTGTTAGAGCTACAGATAGCAATTTTGAAGATATTTTAATGAAATTTATTAGATTGAAATATTTTGACGCAAGGGTGAACGCTGCTGAAAACGATTCAGATGGGCCCACTTTTACCAGCAAACCCTTTATAATGACTTAATTTGAAAGTACGTTACATGAGTGAGCGAGTTACATATGAGCGACATAGAGTATTTTATGGTCTTTACAGTTATAGTAAGTTTGCTCAATTTGGACCGCGTCATGTAATGCTTTGGAGATCCTCGAATATGCGGGCTTGCAAGAAAACGATACGTAAATTTTGATCTGCAACAAGTGAACAACTGTATTAGGCAAAGTGTTGCAGGTTATCTAAAAAGTCGGCCTTGCCCTATTGTAATCTTATTACTTATTTTTGTATAAATCTTTTTATTTAAATCAATCACACGAAGTAGCTACGAGCATAAGCTCGCTATGTCGGCTGTCACTACAAATCTTTAGTAAGTTTTCAGGAATATTGTGCTCAAGTCTCAGAGAAAATATTTATTAGTACCATCAAGAAATGTTTAATTGGTTATTTACTGAAATGGGTATAATAAGTTTAAAGGCTAACAACTATCGTAAATAAATATTTCAAAGTAATAAAAAAACAATAAAAAAATGAAAAATAAACAAAACCGTAACAAATTTATTTAAATTTTATTACTTTTGAACGCTTAAACTGAACTAATACGATTTTTAAAATTGAAGTAAAACTAAAATGTTTGACACGTTAAACGTTCCCAATGGCACATGATCGTGGGTATATAAGAAGCAAGTTTTTAAATATCTTTTCACAGTGTAATAAGTGTAATTAAAAAATTTTAAATTTATAAAAAAAATTAAAGGGAAATCATTTGCCTGCAGACAAATATAAGTTTGGCAATTGTCTTAGTACTACTTGAAAATAACTGCCGGGGTAAGTGTTTCCGTATATATATATAGATGGATATGCATTATAAATATAACAGTAATTACATTTTAGATGTCAACTGAGAGATCATTTTATAAATTATCTACTTGCAATCGAAGGCAAGTTTCGGCATTACAGCTACAAATAGGGAAAACCTCCAAACGGTACGTATTCACATTAAATGCCTTTTATTGCAAGAAGAAAAAAACTTACATTACATCATTGAAAAATATAGATCCTTCTATAAAACCGAATTATAACGACACAGAATACTATATCTGGCATCACGGGTATCCAAAAGATGTGCACGCCTCCAAATTGATACACATTATAAAAATTTACATTTATCGAAAAATATGGACACTTACCGTATTCGATTCTCATCTTCATTTTGGAATTCGTGCTACGATATTTCCGTTAATGGCAAAGTTGGACATTATTCTTTGCCTGTTTGAATATCACTTCAAAGTTAAATATGCAAAGCGATAAAGCGGTCAAAAAGCCAAAAATCGATTAAGCTAACGTTAAGGCGACCATAGTATGGGATATGCAAGGTATAAATATTGTCTGACTATCTTGCAAAAGAGACAAAGCATCACTAGTGAGTATTAAGCAGCATTATATATACTTTTGAATAATGGAATTGCCGGAGACAATGACGACTGACATTATACTTTACCTAATTGATTTTTTATTACAAAAAAGCTTTTTCTCAAAGCGGTTTTCTTGAATTAGCTAAATTTTTCCACAGATAAATGTGTTTTGCTATAAACTCGATTTAATATAGATAGGAAAATGAAAAGAGTCCGAGCAGCCAGATACCATATTCGGTTTCCTCACGATTGGATTTAACACAAAGGTCTGCTTTTTTTGGGGAGAAAAAAAAAACATGTTTTAACGGCATCAGTCAGTTAAGAAGGATACCTGCTTCCGCCACATTTCCCTCTTTAGATTCGTTGAATTGTATGCGGTTAACAAATTCAAAGAAAAAAGAATTTTTCTACCGAGAATGTATAAGCAATGCACACTCAAACATAAATATATATATGTATACATATATATCTACGTACATATATGTACCCTTATCCTTTACTTTTCAATATCGCGCACTTAGTTATATCTCAGATAGTAGGTATGCATGTATATACTAGTCGTACTCTTATCCTTTACTTTTCATTACGTCATATCTCATTACAATATTTGCAACCTCTTTATTTTAGATCCAAGGCATGATACCCGGACATAATATCCTGTAACAACGTCAAGTGTAAGTCAGGCATCCCCCTGTACTTCTTTATGTATCGGCAGAGAAAAATATAAATTTCTTTCAATATAAAACAATCAATGAAAGATATCAACCAAGAGGCAAAGTTTAATGCCCAAATTCGTTATCAATGGGAATGGTGTGACAATACGATAACGTAGAGAAGTATTACTATCGGCATTTTTTCCTAAATATAAATGTACATAAAGTGTCAAAGTGAAAGAGGAGGCATGGATAACTTTCCGATGTCCATGATGCCAGATATAGTATCCTGTGTAGTTCTGGCCAGGTTTTACACGCGGATCGATATCTTTGAACAAAATAATGAAAGTTTTTTTTTTTTTTTTGGCAATGAAAAGTAATTAACGCGAACACCGGTCGTTTGGGGTCGTATTCTATTGAAAGATGCAATTGATGCCACCGGAATTCATATCAACAATTTGAATAATGATCTAAATTCGTGTCTAACGAAGAAAATGTAATAATAAAGCGTGGTGTTGGCTTAATTTTTGTTTGCCTACAGCAACGCTTACCCTCATAGCTACTTTCAGGCAAATATAAGGCAAATGTCAACCTTATAATTGCCTGTAGGTAAATGATTCCAATTTTGATCTCTTTTTATAAATTCTAATTTTTTTTAATTACACTTATTGTACATAAAAAACTACCTCATTAACTTACTTCTTATATACCCACGATCGCACAATTATGGAAAGCATTTGATGTATCAAATCCTTTAAACAATTAAATTACTTCAATTTTGAAAATCAGGTTAGTTCAACTTAAGCGTTCAAAAGTAATAAAATTTAAATGTATTTGTTATCGGTTTGTCTATCTTTTTTCGATGTGGAAAACTTTGCGAAAATTATTTACGATTGAAAATATTGAGATAGAAAAGTAAAAAAAATAAACAACAACAACAAATACCAAAGTGCTAAGTAAACTTGCTTCAAGGCCTAATTAATACGTTATTATGTCTGTTTTAGTATTTAATGGATCAAATCCTCCCGATACCTTGGATATACCGAAAAACAAAAGCTCAAGAAGACGTTTGCTCGTTACTAATACACAAAGAACTCAAGCTTAAAGCGTGTAGATGCGTGTAGATATCTTGCGAAAGATTTACTTTTTTTATTTAGAGGAAATTTTCAAAATTGCAATTTTTCCAAAAAGTAGACCGATCCGAACCATTTTCAAGAGCGCTTGTCCTTGATCCAAAACGCATCACTATACCAATTTTCATAAAAATATCTCAAGAATTGCGACGCGTAGCTTAAACACAAAGCTACATGGACTAGCACAAGACGGACAGACAGGCTAAGATCAACTCAGATCACGATTCTGCATCGATCGGTATAATAAATGTTTTGGCTATCTTAAGCTCTTCTGCGTGTTACATACGTACACTAAGTTAATATACCCTGTACCACAAAGGGTAGGGTGTAATGAACTTGTATATGCAATGATGAAGGCCGTAATCCAACTATAACTTGGGCAATTGCTTTGAAAATTATTAAATAAATGATCTAAGCAACTGAAGGAAAAGCTTAATCCTACATTTCCTCTAACAGCTTCGTATGGATCTGGCAACGGTAAGTTACAAATTTCAATGGGATCTATAGCTCAAAGAAATATTCTTGCGAGTCTGCAATTGTGCCTGCAAGAGCAGTTTATGGACGCTAAGCAAGATCAAATTTTCTTTCTTATGAAAACACTGTCATGCTCAGTTTTCATTGCAGGGTTGCATTGTAGACATGTCCTTTAATTGACGCAAAACATTTTGTATAGTAACCTGCACGCAGGAATTTGCCTAAAAAAACCTAAAATCACAGCCGAACAAGCGTTTTTTTTAGACTGATGAAAGCGGTGAGTGTAAGATACTCGACCACAGCCGTATATAATTTAGTTTTTTCTGTTAAGGTGAATTTCACATTTAAGAGTTTTGGATTTACTTTTTAAGAGAAAATAATGGTAAATATTTTCTTTACAGTCAGGCAAATGGTCAGAGAAATGTTAACGTCACTCTCGTCATTTGCATTAACAGTAAGTTTACTTTTGTTCGCAGTATGCAGTTAGGCGTCAATGAAATCATTACAATGATTGTTTTTTTTTCTTTCTTTTCTTTAAGTCTAAGGCGACAAAGCGTAAAGTGAAGCAAGTGAAAACACTATAAGATGTCACGGCTCATCATTAAATATCCCACAACGCACTAGAGTTATTCACATATCGACCGTTATATGGCCAGTGATCCGAACCATTTTCAATATCATTTGTGCTTGAACCAAAACATATAAGTGCAACAAATATTTCAAAAATTTGCGGTCTGTTGAATACAAGAAAACAAGACGAAGTGCCGGACGGACCAGCTTAGAGCGATGCAGAAAATAATTCCGAAATAATCGATATAGCAAAAAGTTGGTCTCTTCCGAATTCATCTGAGCGTTGCATATACCAGAAAAATAAATTCTGAAATTTATAGCAAATATCCCCTTGAAACGAAAAAAATACTTCAAAAATTCATTAATTGTTGCAGGAGAGAAACGAAAGAAAAAAAAGAAGAAAAGAAAGAAGAAAAAGAATTTGATTGAAGAAATTTTTATAAACATTTATAGACATTTCTTATATGCTACTAAGCGTAGGTTTAATAAAACCTGAATGAGCTTTTTTTTAAGTTTAGAGAAAAAAAAAAAAAAAATTCAATAATATCAGTATCTACGGATATTGAACTCGTAATTAAGTTTTATTCGCTTAACCATTTCCATTGCATTAGTTACCTAAAGGCAGCAATCGCACAAAGGTAATCACTTCACTAATGAACATCACTGAAAGTAAGGATAATTTAAAGGTTCTCAATAAGGTCATGTTTGTTTAGGTTTTTCAACAAAGATTTCTTTCGGTGGTAATTTAAGCATGGCGGGTATGCACGTTTGTTTTCGTTTTTTAATAGTGATTTCTTTAGATTGTAGGGCCATTAGTACTGAAGAGCAGGTTAATGTTACGTTATTCATTTATTTAAAGTGTGTTTACATGTTCCGTACAACAAGACAAAAGTTGGTAGGAGCATGGGACAGCAGATACCCACAACTCGGAGATGAACGCCTACGCTATTTATTTTAATTGTTACAGTAATTTAAATAAAAATCAGATAGAAAGTAAAACAGAAAATAATGAAATTTTAATTGAGCCAAAAATAGTACAACAAATCACACTGCATTCCATGGCTACACTGTTTTTACTCTAATTGTCTATTCCGCATGATTAGTCAAGCGAATATGAATCGCGAATGCCAAGTCAGTGTTCGCCATTATTCAAATCTCAGAATGATAGAGAATACTCGGTCGTACTTATGGTGAGCGCTCAACTAATGAGGCATAATACTTAGAGATAGAGGCTGACGTTCATTTGGAAATGCTTACGGAGATGCCAAGCATACCGGTGCCATTTAGTCAGTATTTGCAGATTCAAAACGCAGTGCGGTGGGGAATATATGGTCGCATTTATAGTAAGTGCTTGCTCGAGAAAAAGCGATAACACCTATCGTCTTAGACTCACACCTATTAGGCCGCGGCCACTCGGAAACACCAAGCATATAAATAAGACCCGAGATCAGAGTCGCGACTAAATATCATGTCTGTGTTAGCTGATATATCAGAGCGATCGAGCATACTTGACCGTAACTATAGTAAGCGCTCACTTGGCACAGGGATAACATACATTCGGGCAAACTACCTACTAGGCGACGGAAATGCCAAGCGTAGAAATAAGTCCCAAGACAAAAGTCGCGACAACCTAACATGTCAGTGTCCCCGGAGGTTGAAATCTCATAGCGATAAACCATACCTAATCGTAACTACAGTAAGCGCTCGCAAGTCGTAGGGATAACGCTTACTAATTTGCGCGTATACCGTCTAGGCGTCCGCTCAGAAATGCTTACAGAAATGCCAAGCATAAATCCCAAGATAATAGTCGCGATAACTACTTTGCAGGCAGCAATCACCCCCTATATCCTTCTCTTTCCCCGCTTCTTTCTGACCGTCGAGGAACATCCGCTTACTGATTGGTCTAAAAAAAAAACAATTATCAAAGCGTTATTGTTGCAGGCAATGCAACATTTCCACAAAGTTGACTAAAAGTGTTGTCCTTTAATCATATCCGTCCATATGTCTATTTGTCTGACGGCTTACATATTATCAAGTTAACTTATGAGTCGTAATTTTCAAATTATTTTGACGAAATTTCGATAAGGTGTTGTAACACCCGCTCCAATCTCAATAAAACTGTAACGAAAACGACAATTTTCACAACTAACCGATATGAAAAAATCCCGATTTTGTAAAATTTGTTACGCGAAAAAAAATATTTCACTCTTAATATTTCTACTTAAAATGGCAACTCATCGTGTCGTATAAGCAAGATTCCAAAAGTTCTTTATACATGGTAATAAGTTTTCTTTTCTATGATTAAAAGGGATATAAAATACTATTGCGATATATAGACAATAAATGATATATTTTTATTTTACCGACTTTTTTCAAGTTAATGCATGCATGGTAGAATCCATCTGCCTGCAAATTCGCATTTTCGTATTACTTGCAGTTTATAAGTAATCAGTTAAAAAACGAGACGCACTCTCCTTAAGTTCATATTACGTTGTAGACGTGTTCCGCAACAAATTTAGCCCATTTTCAGTACAAACCTGCACGCAAGAATTTCCTATGTTTCTATCAAATTTGAAATCGATATCTTAATTTATGCAATCAGGAAACACATACACATGCGTAGACGGACAGGCATGCCTAAATTGATTAAAAATTTAGATAAGCGTATTTTATGGTAGTGTTTAGCACATACACACAAACAAACACATCGCCTCAAAGGCACAAGAAGATAAGTGGACGGACGGACGGTTCGACGGACAGACATACATGCTTATATCGATTCAGAATTTAATACTGATTGAGAATATGTGCATTTTATAAGATTTTTTGAAGCTGTACCAGGTTTAACGCATTCGATGGCGGGTATAAAAATTTATATTTATATGAACGGTCGTCACTATTAAATAAATATAGGCAATTTGATTTTATTTCCGCTACGATACCGTAGTTAAGTGTTAATGATTGGCAGTTACACGTTGAACATTTTTATTCTAAAAGAAAATTCACAGTATTTTCGCATCCTTTTCATTTTTGACATTTAAGCAAAAGTTAAGCAAATTCAAAGTAAGTAAATTATAATGGATGTATATCTATATATATATATATATATGTAATTTCTCTCTACAAATACTTATATATATTTAATATCTCTCTACATATATATATAATCTCTGAAGCATTCATTACACATTGAGGAAAGTTGTACATAAATAACAGCAATATGTAGAAAAAATGATCAATCAACTGTCTCTGGCAAATTGAAAATGTAATATAAATTATTTTTATTTTTATTGTTGCTGACGTAAAGGCGGAACTCCGTAAACGAAAAAGAATACAAAATAAGACCAATTTATGACAGGTGTGAAAAGTTACATACATTAACCGTAGGATGAATATTGCAAATATCTACCACACACACACACACACACACACACACACACACGCACCATTCAACAAATTTCATAATCGAATGCAGCGCATTCAATATACTGCTCTGCACAATAATTGTGAAAATACAATGACGTACGAGTCATACATAAGTAATATGCATGAACAAGCAAAAAAAAAAAGAAAAAAAATGACATTTGGTTGCAGCCAAATCTTCTACGCCCACCAATTCTACCTTAAAAAAGAAAAATCAAAAAAAAAATGAATTTTGATATATCTTATAACGATGGGTAGATCGAGTAGATTTTCCCTAATTTCATACAGTTGAATAATAGGCTTGCTCGAGTAATGCAATTTTTCAATTTGTATCGTTCCAAAAGCACACGTCTTTTTAACTGCTATTGTACTCTACACATGGACTTTGACCGATTTGATCGGAGTGCAAGAATTTCCAATATCACATAACACACATGGATGGACGGACAGGCAGATTTTCAAAGGTTTCTTTGTACGGAACCTCTTGGCAAAATGCATCCTTACTCTCATCTTGTTATGGTTATTTGTTTTATACTTTTTATACTTTTTTTTTTTTTAAATATGGGAGTTGCCACAGTCTAGTGCATGCCTAAATAACTAAGTCTTACGAACTTACCGACTAAGCATTAACTAGTACCTACGACTAAGTACACTCTACCGCACAGGAACTTAAGGCCGCGAAAACCGTCTTGGTTGTAGAATTGAGTGTATGATTGTGTCATATTTCATACGCTCTTCTAACGGATCGAATAAAAAAAAACCTTATGGGACTTACTCGTATTATTTCATATAATTTGTTGCAGGCAAATGATGATGAAACAGGGTCACTGCCGATAGACAAAAGAAAAGAAAAACAGGTAAGAACAGTATACTCGGGCAAAGCCGGTGTAGAGTTAAATACCTTACCCCATTTCACCTAATACAGTTTTTCAATTATTTTGACAATAATACACCAAAACTTACTTATATTATACCGATCGATCGAGAGCTCGTCTGTTCGTCTGTCAGTCTGAAGTTTTGTTCAACGTACAAGTCACAATTTTTAAGACATTTTGATGAAATTTGATAGCCTGGCGTCTTTCGACTCAAGAACGAACGTTGTTGAAGATATTTCGGATCGGTCCAGTTTTTCGAGCACTCCCCTTACTTTGAAAGATCATTATATTAAGTTTTTTGCGGACGCATGTGAGATCCAGGAGGGCAAGGATTGAAGCAACTTTTTTTATACTAAATCATTTTCTGAAATAATCTAAGCTTGTCTTTCCGCCTGTCCTTCTGATGTCTATTTACGTATTGTTATGCTTAACTGACAGGCCTCAATATTCCAGATATTTCGATGAAATTTGGTACATTGACGTATTTCGAACTCAGCTATTGAACGCTATTGAGGATGGTTTATATCGGTCCATTTTTCCGACCACACCCCAATTGGAATTTTGGAATGAATACGTGTACTAGGCGAAGCAGTGTAGGGTATCTAACGGTCCAGCCTTGACCGACTATAGTGTTCTTAATCGCTTTTTATTTGCTGAATTCGGGAAGAAGAAGCAGATTATTGCGTATATTTTTTAACTTTTATTTATGCATATTTAGACATTTTAATGACATTTTTTTTT